CTAAGTTTTGAGAACTTTCAAATATTTTCCTCTCATAGAATAGTATAGATCAGCCATAAGGAACTAGGTGTGTTGAGGGTGTGCTGCCAACAAGGAACTAGGGGTGTTGAGGGTGTGCTGCCAACAAGGTACTAAGGATGATGAGGGTGTCGCAGCACTTCCTCGCTTAACGTGATTCTTATCAAACACAGCAAACTGTTTTCAACGCCCCCATTACAGAAATTGTTCCAGCGTCGATGTCTACAATGATAATTTCAGTAAAAATGTTTTTAATTTGTGGCATCACTTTATTGATAATATTGTGCATAAAAGAGACTCTATTAAGTAACAGGTTCAAAAAACCACAGCGTAATGAAACTAGCTCTGAGATCGATTTTTTATTGGAAGTCCAGATCTGGCAATTAGAATTTTGAGCATTGTTGATTGGTAAAAGAGTGTTCTGATAGCCTAAGAAATATTCAAAGAGTTAAGTTCCGAGTGAAGTGTTTTAAAATTCGAGATTATAATTTTAGGCAATTTTAAAATCTGTGCCTAAAGATAGATCTGATGTAAATTGTATAGGTGTAAAGAAAATGTAAAGAATACCAATTTGGGTTTTCTCCACAAACAAGCCCCCCAGTGGCACATCAGTATGTCTGCGGACTTACAACGCTAGAATCCGGGTTTCGATACCCGTAGGGGGCAGAGTCCAGATAGCCCATTGTGTAGCTTTGTGCCTAATTACAAACAAACAAAAAAAAAACAAATCCATCAACAAAGTACGTTAAATGTCGTCAATGTGAGATTATTCTAAGGAGTTTCAATGATTATATTTAGTGACCGTGTTCTACAGTTTTACTTTTATTAATTTTAACAGAATTCTTTCCTATAAAAACGACGAGGTTTCTATAATTAAACATTGGAATTAAGAGAAACCAGACAGTTTTTACGCTTGTTCGTTGTGGATTTTTTTTTTTTTCATATTTGAAGTGTGATTTGTCCGTGGAATGAGTGAGATCATCAATCCTCTGAAAATCGTTTCAAAATACTGTTAAGGTTAAGGCGTGAAGTGTATCGTGTTTTGGGTTTCTTCTGTGCAAGTTAAGGCATTCTTCCACTAGGCATCAATAGTTGTTAATTCCATTTATTTGGTATATATAATGGATCTTATTTAAACAAGGATTGGCTATAGCCGGATGTTAGAAATTAACTTTCAATCTAAAGATTTTGTGTTCCTAAATATCATAAGTAGAATAAAAAAAAGGTATTGAAATATCCTTGTAATGAAATGTTGTGTGCTTTTCTTATTGAAGTCTGATTCATCTGTTATTATAATTCGCAATTTTGGGCATTTTCACGACCGTACAAAACGTATGCTGGGGGGAGGGCGTAGAAGATCGTAAAAGGATGTTATTCCACTCGCTTTCACTAAATAACTTGAAATAGCAGTACCTTCAGCAGATTTTCTGGACTGAAACACCTCTTTCCTGTACCGTATTTATAATGACTAATGACCGATAATGTCTCTGTAAACAAATCGCCATTTTTATGTGTACTCTTTCAAAGTGGGACATCAAAAACCGTACGTTTTGTACGCTCGTGAAAATGGGGAAAATTGTGAACAACCACTAACTAATACAAATACGTAATAAATATAGCAAGTGTTCATCACGGTTGCAGACAAACAGTCATATATATATATGTACAAACTGATATTTATATGATAAGGATACAATGCTTCTGTAGTGAAATAAAACTTATAAATACTTTGAAAAAGTTACAGCTTTAACTACATATCAACTAAAGCAAATTAGTACAAAAACCGTTTCCAATGCTTCGGGGGGCTTTTGTCACCATCTCTGAGAAAACAGTGCAAGATTCATTCAAAATACTGGTATACATTTAGAGAATAATACAACTACTACTTCTTGGAGAATCTTCATCTCGGAGCTTTTTAAATAATTCATCAACAAAATTTATCCGATCTTTAATTTGTTTTGGATTTAATTCATTTCTAGCATCACTAAATACGTATTTCTCGATCAAGTAAGTGTCCCATTCTGTGCGAGGCGGTGCATGAGAGCGATCGGTGTGAGTTTTCAATCCTTGTCCTAGCAATTCTTCGATGATTCTCTCGTAATTGTAACCGTCGTGACGTATGTCGTGCTCGGTGAAGTCCGCGCCAAGAGTTTCTTCTGACAGTGGCATCCGGATTGGGAGGAAAATATTTATAACCTGGAAACGAGAATAACGACTAGAGATACGTAACCAAATGAAGAAGAAGAAGCGGAATTTATCTGATTTCCAGGATAACATTGTCATGCTTAAAATATAGAAAACACCAAAAAACTACTGGTTTTATATGTCGAACAGACGTGGCTAACGTAGCTGTAAAGCCTCGTAGAAAATAAAACGAAAAGAATTTGTGAAAATTTGCATTATCTTTATGATTGTTTGTGCCTTGGCACAAAGTTACATAATAGGCTATCTGCGCCCTGCCCATCGTAGGGAGAATATAACCCCGGATTTTAGCGTTGTAAGTTCATAAATTTACTGACGATCCACCCGGAGACATTTTTATTTATATATATATATTTAAACTTTTTGTTCTTCTGTTCCAAAAGTGACTTCAATGGGATATATTTCAAAATTTTGGTTTCATTGTGTTTTTTTTAGTAGTAGAATAAAGCACGACGATATGTTATCAGTACTCCAGTGGGTCAGCGGTCAATTTCTGGACCTACAACGTTAAAATCCAGGGTTCGATTATCCACTGTGGACAGAACATAAATAGTCCATTGCATAACTTTGGCTAAGAAATAAAACTTTCATCAGCTTGTTTTACCTTAAGTATAGTGTAAGTGGTGAGAGCACTCCATAATCCAATCACAACGCATGTTAAAGTTTGCACACCAAAGATATAAAACCCTCCTCCTTTAAAAACCCCCTTATAACCCTTTGTCAAGTTTAACAAGGGGTCGTCATCCACAAGGAGTCCTACAGCGAGCATCCCCCAGAGACCTCCAATTCCATGGACGGCCACTGCTCCAACTGGGTCGTCCACCTTGACTTTGTCCAGTAAAGGCTGGAACTCAATCACCAAAAACGCTCCCAAGGCTCCAACAAGAATGGCCTCCCAAGGATGGTAGAAAGCTGATCCAGCTGTTGGAAGAAGTTTACCAATGAGACACGGTGTTTCGAAATTGTCAGTTACACACATTGTCCCTTTGTATAAGAAATGTTGTATTGTAAGGACGTACGAAAATGTGCTCGTTGTTCTTTTCATATATTACCTACACACAAAAATGTCATGGTCGTTGTTCGTTTCATATATCACCTACACACAAAAATGTCATGGTCGTTGTTCTTTTCATATATTACCTACACACGAAAATGTCATGGTCGTTGTTTTTTTCATATATTACTTATCTTACACAGTACTATTGTTAACAATAAGAATATTTTAGTACGTTTATTGTTACAAAATCTATAACATGATGCTTACATAAAGATGTACATATTTAAGAGATAAGTGCTTCTTTTCACAGCTCTTCAAATGATTATTATTAAATAGCAGTCATCACATAATAAGAAGAGCACATCATCATCATCATCCTACGTAAGAAAGTTTCATAGATGTGTCTACATTCTTTCTGACTGGTCGTGACGTAAAGGTAAATTACTGAGATTTTTATTATATACAGTACAGGTCTAAAGCCCCTCTGACAAATCTCAGTAATTTACCTTTACGTCACGACTGCTGTACTGTATATAATAGTCTAAAGTCCCTCTGACAAATCTCAGTAATTTACCTTTACGTCACGACCG